GATAGGACCTGTTTTATCTTCCTGTTCACCACTTTTTCTTTTCATTTATTTTTATTAACATATATTGTTCAAAATAATAAATTTAATACTTTCATGCATTATCATCAAATATGTTTTGATCTAATTTCTTTTTTTTTCCTTTACTGTTGTGCTGGGTTGGGGGTACATTGTGGCATTTGCAAAGGTTTTTACAGTGCATCATATATATCATACTTAAATTCACTCCCTCCACCACTCCCCTTTATCCCTCCTCCACTGATTCATGAAGTTACAACAGCTATCATTATTGCATTTACATTCATGTATCACATTTTTTGCACCATATCCACCCCTCTACCCCTTTTCCCTGCCGGTTCCTCCCTCCCACTGATACAAACTCTTCCCTCTGAGCAGGATCTGTTCCACTCTTCTGTTTTCTGATTTTTGCAAAAGAGAAAAAAGGAAAACATGACATTTTTGCTTATTGAGATAAAGATAGCTATACAGGTTGTTTCCTTGTGGTATTTCCATGTATATCTGTGTTATACCGCCAATTGGTTTATCTCATCTAAATTATCTATAATTCTACCTTAGTCCCTTTCTTATGGTGGTTTCAGCCAGTTTAAGATTGCTGTATTCATTCTTTTATAGAGAGCAAAAAAGAATGAATATAGAAATCTTAGTTTCTTCTTTTACTTATGCCTCCCATGTGTGATCTCCCCTTCATGTGACCAGTGTTTCATAATACTGCTGTGTTTGTATCGGATCCATATTCCACATATGAGAGAGAACATGCAGCTTTTGGCCTTCTGAGTCTGGCTAATTTCACTTAAGATGATGTTCTCTAGTTCCATCCATTTACCTGCAAATAACAAAATTTCATTCTTCTTTGTGGCTGAGTAAAATTCCATTGTTTATAAATACCACATTTTTTTAATCCATTCGTCATCTTGGGGCATCTTGGCTGTTTCCATAGCTTAGCTGTTGTGAATAGTGCTGCAGTAAACATGAGCGTGCAGGTGTCTTTGTTGTAAACTGGCTTAGTCCTTTGGGTACATCCTTAGGAGTGGTAATTGCTGGGTTGTGTGGCGGATCTATTTTTACTTTTTCATGGAGCCTCCATATTGTTTTCCATAGTGGTTGTACTGGATTACATTCCCATCAGCAGTTTATGGGGGTTCATTTTTCCGCATATTTGTCAACGTTTGTTGTTGTTTGTGTTCTTGATGGTAGCCCTTCTAACAGAGGTGAGGTAGAATCTTAACATGATTTTAATTTGCATTTCCACTGTGGCCTAGGATGGTGAGCATTTTTTCACATGTTTTAGCCATCTGGACTTCTTCCTTTGAAAAGACTGTTCAGTTCCTTTGCCCATTTCTTCATTGGGTCATTGACTTTTTGGGAGTTTAGGTTTTTCAGCTCTCTGTATATTCTGGTTCTCAGTCCCTTGTCTGATATATATCTGGCAAAGATTTTCTCCCATTCTGTGGTGGCCTCTTCAATTTAGACACCATTTCTTTTGTTGTGCAGAAGCTTTTTAATTTCAAAGGCATTTTTGTTTGCTTAAAATAGCTATGCAGAGAGTTTCATTGTGACATTTCCATATATATATTTAACAGTGTAATATATCTCATACTTATTTGGCTGAATAAGTAATATCTTCTGTTTACTTTTACATGTTCAACTAGTTTGTTAGGAAGTTTTAAATAAGTGTCATTGCTGTGTTGTGAGGTAAAGAAGTCAAGGACTGGACTAAGTGATTTTAAAATATGCTGGTTATTTTAAAATAAAGATGTAACTTGGAGGAGAGAAATGTAGCAGGTAAAAAGGATGGCCTACAATCCCAAAATGTCAGAGGATTGAGGCAGTATCTTGGTCTAAGATTTCAGGTAAACCCAGATGGGAATATGTAAATGTTGAATCAAAGCAGAAGTTATAGAGGCCATGATGTAGAATATGCAGAAGTGTCATTTTACTCAGTTTAGGATTTTTATTCTTTTTATTCTCTCATCTTTCTTAGACCAGCATGGAATGTTCTTCTTATGTTGATACCACAAGCACAAAGGGTGAATGTAAGCAGCCCTACAACTGGGGCTGGGCACTGAAACATTGTACCCAGCAATATATAGGGATAGTCTGTTCATGATGAGGTTGGCAAAGAAATAGATGCAGAGAAGGATTCACAAAAATCAGGACCAAAGATCAAATCACAAGTTATTATGTGTGTTTGAATATTTAATGCCTGGAATAAGTTGTTTTAACATTGTGTAATACTTTACTTCATCATCTTTATTTTATTTTACACGGTGACATTTAGCATTTGATTATTGTCATTTTATCACTAAATTATGACTATGAATTAAGTTCCATTTGTGATTTTAATGAAATACTAGTCAATTCAATACATGGGCACAGGTGCCAAGACGCAAGAAATGTGGAATGGTTGCCACTGTGACTGTTTCCTTGTCTCAGTCACTGCTAAGTGTTTGTGACATGTTTTTTCTCTAAGGTCAACTAAAGACTTCAACTCTGCATCTCAGTAAGGTGTGAGAGTTGAAACCTTTTTGCTTTTCTTACATTAAATAAACCAGATCCCATCTACTCTCAGATTACCAAAATACCTGGGGTGCAACCAAGAAATGCATTTTTAAATGCCAGCTATCATTTAATATGAAATAACATGATGTCAATTACTATCCCATTTCACCTGAATACACTTTGTCATTTTAAAAAAAAATATTTTGTATCTTGTTTTTTGTGGTTTTGGGGATCAAACCCAAGGCCTTGTCCCACTTGAATACATTTCTTTAGGTGTTTTCCAAGTTTCAGTAATATGTGACTCTAGTTCATGTGAACTACTAGATGACAAACTTTATAGCACTTCATTTGTCAGTTTGCTCACAGACATTTTATATCTTCTATACAAAGATGACTACATGTTATTTTTGCTTTGGGGAACTCACAATTTATATCTACACAAATTACTATCCAGTGTGTACAAATATTGATAATAAGACATACAGATGAGGGATTTGGGCAACTTGAAAAAGGCTTCAAAAAAGAGGGATAGGTAAGCCGTGTCTTGAAAAATATGAAAGAGTTCATTACTTACTGAAAAAAAGGTGAAAGGAAAGCATAGCTCAGCTAATATCATTTAAAAGTTTCAGAGAATAAAGAACAATATAAAAACAAGAGACCAGTAATTAAAAGATTTCACTTGTCTATACAAGACATGATGAGAGGCTTCATTAAAACCAATGGCAGTAGGGATAAAGAAAAGGCTTTTTGAAGAGACCCTTTAAAGAAAGTTTGATAAGACTTGGTGATAAAATGTAACAGAAAAGAATTAATGGTTGCTTGATGTTTTCATCTTTGGGTCCCTTCCTAGAGTGTGATGATAGTCATTGAAACAGAAAATGCAAGAGAAATAATGTTTGGTGGTAGAAAGGGAAAACTTGCTTGAAAGAGATAAGTTATGTTTTAAACATGTTAACATTGCAATAACAAAGTCAAAGTCTAAAAGATGAGGTTTAGTAGGCAGAAATGATATTTAGGAGCCTGACGTGGGTAGAATAGATGAAATGTATTAGGAGAGAAACAAACTAGTAAAGCATAGTAAAGCAGTAGGAAGATTTTTAGAGTGGTTGTGCCAGTGCTAGATAGAATCAAGGCAGTATCAAAAAATGTATTGTAGTACTTATCAAGAATTGTACATACATCAAAGTAGGATAAGCAAAAGACAAGAGAGAAGTATCAAATCCAGAGAGTAGCATAGGCAGGAGATTCATACTCTGAGCAGACAGCATTAGCAAAGGTTGGGTAGAAGAGCCATGGTCCAGAAAGAGCAAAAATGTAAAGGAATTAAGGACTTTGCCAGTCCTTTAGTTTCTTGTATACATGAGCCTACTCCCAAGCACTTTGACCTGAGTCTTCAAGCAGATGTTGTTGAAAATACTTCTAGAAAATAAGTAATCTCAGAAGAGATAGGACTGTTCTCAACTAGCTACAGTAATACTGATATTTCATACAAGTTTATCTTTCTGTGCCAGAACAAAAGCTTAGTTTTTTTGATGTGAAAGAAGAGATACTCACATTGTCCCCTCCCTCCCTGCTCTATATTTCCTTCTTTCCTTTCCTTTTTCTTCTTCTTTTCTGTTCTTTCATTCTTTCCTGTCTTCCATCCTCTCTTCCTCCTATGAATCCTCCCTCCTTTATTTCCTCCTCCTTTTCTTTGACCTCTGCAGCAGTGTAGCAGTTTGATGAGTTTTGTCAGGAAAGATCACTTAGAACCTAGTATGTTGGGTAAGGCATCTAAACCTTATAGAGGATATTTTGAAGTACAAGTAATCTCCATTATAGCAAGAAATTTCTTACTTGGCATGGTTAGTAAGCAATTTATTTAAGAAGAAAGTAAAAATCATATTAAATTCATAGGACTTTTCTCTGTTGAACATATTAGCACTATTTTAAATGACAGCAGGTATCCTTAAACTTTTCGAGAAGTTAAATGAGCAACCAACTAAGTGTAAAATTATTTAACTCTAAAGTATTGAACTGGATGTAAACAGAAATAAACATTTTACATTGTCATTGTGTACCTTTTAGCCTAGAAACTATATATCTAGCTTTATGTCTAACTCCTGAGGGTAAAATAAGAACTGATCTTCTGCTTCCTGGTTTGTGATTTTTCTGACTTTTTTTAACCTGGTAACTTTTAGAGGTCAATTGCCGGTTTGTTGCAAAAGTTAAATCTGAGATTATTTTTGGAATATAACCTGAAAACCTAATGACATATTTGGTATGGTATTCTGTGAAACTGTGTGACAACTATTATTTGACATTTTATTTAAATATAGGCTTATATTTTCTGACAGCATTCTTTTAGCAGGTGTTATTTATAAAGTATTAAAACTCTTTCAGCTCAAGTGTTTCTTCAGTATTAGCTTCTTGTTCTGAACATCATTCCACAGGGAAGGTTTCCATAAGCCTTGTTTGGTTGAAACACATTATTGTTACTTTAGGTGCTGACTGTTCTGGTGGCGAGTTTCCAATTGCCTTGATTAAAGTAGAAACATTCTATGGCTTGGATGACTTACATTTCACATTGGTTTGAGCAAGATGATTGGTATGAAGGACTACAAAGAGTAAGATATATATTTATGTTGTAATTATAGTTTTCTGTGATTTTTTTCTGCTCTGCTTCTCATGCTGCTGTATTTTTATCACTTATTGTGGACACTTTGAATTATAAAATTCTGAGGGTAAGAGTTATTTGATAGGTTTTAAAGCAGAAGTAAGAATATAATTCATAAGAATAGCTATAATTATATATTGAAGAGAAGGCATTTCTTTCCTATTCTGATTTTTGATGAATTCTTAACAATGTTTTAGATTGTCTTTAGACTTGAAATATGAAAGTAGTACTTTGTATATGATTAATGTATTAAAGTAGCAATTTCAAGAAAGCTGTTTGATATATATAAAAACATTTAATGAAATAGAAGTTACATGTATGCTAATAATATGTGTTATAATACTATAAAAATGCAAAAAATTCTTCAAAAGAATGCCATTATGCATCTGATGAATTTTTAGGGAATTAATTATATTTCAGAAAGAATTCTATTATTACCATGGCAATTTCTGCATAGTATTTTGAAAATAGGAATCTGATTTTTTATTGTAATAGTTGAAAAATTTTAAAATGTACCATGTCAAAATGAATTTTTAGCTTGAAATTAATTTTTGCTTTACTTATAACGTCTTTAGTGGAGAATGTATTAGTTTTTAAATGAAGAACATGTATGATTTTCATTAAATTGAGAACAAAAGAGCCAGAATCTCTGTGCAGTTTGACCACTTTCTTCCTCATTATTTTTCAAGCGCATATGCTGCTAAAGATACACAGTAATTTATTTTTCTTCCTTCTTGCTTCTTGGCATTCCATTCTAATCATACTAGTCAGATATTTTACCATTGTGTTTAATTATAAATCCTCAGCAGTGCATAGCCTCTTAGTTTTTTTTTTTCCCATATGCTTATTTTTGTAGCTATGCAAGCTGGTAAACATCTCTGGAGCAAATAGATACTGAACTCCAGAGAATAATACTCAGATTGTGAATCCTAAAGCATTCTTCAGAAAAGAGGTTAAGAATTAGTCAGTAGCTTTGCAACCTGAATTCCAGCCTTACCCATAAACAATGGAAGTAGTTCAGCTTATAAGTTAAATAGTAGGAGTCCAAAACCCAATGAACATATACACACTTACCATATTACATGCCAGAATCCTTGTTTGTGATGTCTAAATACATTTTACATACAATAAAAGTCTATTTCTGATGTTTTAAGACTGAAGCTTTTTCAAGTGCAGTCCCTGTTTCTCATAGGAAAAGATGGAAATGGTGGTCTAATTTGGTAGGCAAGAGGGACCAATTTTAATAAAAATGCTTTTTACCAAAATGTAAGCCACTTTAAAGTGGCTTTGGAGCAATTCATGAAGATTTTGATGGTTAAAAATCTTCCCCTCCTTGCCCTAAAACTGTAGACGTCTGTAAATGAGTTCTCGGTTTTAGACATATTGAAAGAGGAAGTGTTTTAAATGCAGACTACATTAACCCTGAAATTATCCATGCCATATGGTTTGAGCTTCTTTTTGCTCAATTTTTGATTATTTCTTGTATAGATTATATAAGAATGAAAGATCCTGTTTTTCAATAAAGAAAATTGGCACGTGAATATTAGCTTTAATTTCTTCTAAAAATCCAGTTTATTTTTCATGTTGTGTCTATGTGTGTCTGTGTGTATGTGTTATCCATCCTGTGTAATCAGCATTCAGCATAAGAGATCTTTGAAATGTTTAAGAGGTAAATTGGACTTTTTAGTTAACGATTAACTGGCTATGTGGTGTTTGAGAAATTACATTAAAGTTACAGAAAATTGTGAACTTGATATTTTGAACACTAATTTGGCATTTGTGTTTTAACATAATTAATGTTTATATATTCATTTAGATATTTATTTGTACATTAAATATATATGATTATGTATATTTATGTATTATATATTTGTACATATATATTATATATTTACATATGTTTATATGAATGCATATATACAAACTAATTTACTTTTCTAATTTGGTTTCAGCAGTACTGTAGCAGTATTATTTATGTTTAAATTTTTATTAGGATAATTTCATTTCATCATAATCTAATGTATTCAAAAGTTAGTATTGTTGCCTGTGCAAAACTAATGTAGATACGCTTTTTTTCAATTGTTTTTTGAATATTTTATGCACTAACTATGGAAAGCGTTTTCACCATCTATACTTTGTTGAACCTAAGAATAAAGTTAGCATAATTAGTCTGTGTCTAAATAGGTTTCATATGGTATAAGATTGAGACCAAAATAGAATTTAGGTTCAAAAGCTGAAAATCTATCCCTGCAAAGCCTGCAGTTGCCAGTTTACTGATACAGTCAATTGCTTGTGGGACAACATAATGCCAAGGCTTTCTTTCTGAATCCATTATAAATCTGCAGTATTCAGTGAGCTGCAGTGCTTACTACTTCATCTAAGTGCATGTGTTACTTCTGGACTGAAAAGAGTATTCTCCAAAGCAAGAAATAATTGGAATAGGTGTGGAAACTTGTCATTCAGAGAATATGAGACATATTCTGAACTGAAGGCAATAAAGGGTTTCTAATAGTCATCTGAAATACATTCCTTGCCTCAAATGTTTATTTACCTTCCTGTGTAACAAATTTTTAGGATACATATTTAAATTATGCATATATTTCAAAATGTACCTCTTTTTTACTAATACAGAATCGTTAATTATGTAACTATTCATGCTGACATCAAAGATGCAAAAAAGCTTTGGGTTTTTCATTTCATCTCCTTGGCAACTATAGATATTACTTAATGAAAGCTATGTAAGTCTTACATATTTTACAATTCTTGAAGTCTCAAATGCTTCATTACATATGTTTTAGTACATAATGCAGATATTATAAGGTACTGGTATTTAGATGCTTAATGATATGTTTTTATATTTTATTCAAAAATCAGATTTTAAAAAATAGATACCATTTTGTTTTGTTCTATTTATTATCTTAATTCGTGGCTTACCAGGTTATTTGACTGCATTTCAAAGAATTTGAGTTGTTGGACCATAAAACCTCTAAAGGCAGTTTAAGAACAAAGGCATGCCAAATTTTATGCCAGCATAGAAATACTTACATTAACTAATTTGAAAACTGAAAAACAAAAAGTCAGGATATACTAATAGTTAAAGTAAAAATGTATAAGCATAGGCTTTTAATAAAAAGTTAACAGAGGGACTTCTGGTTTCCATTCCAAGGCCCATTTAAAGTACTTCCTTTTATATTATATATCATGCCCATATTTTTGGGAAAAATTGCAAAGTATACTAGAAGGCAAAAAATCCACCCCCAATTTGAAGAGACAGAACATCATCAGAACCAAAGTCAGTATTTCTCCCCCCAAATTAAATATGTAGGTAAAAATCTAATAGTATATGTACAAAATGTGTATAAGGAAAACTACAAAGTTCTGACAAATGAAATAAAATAACTAAATAAATGGACAGATACTCTATTTTCATGGATAGGAAGGCTTTGTATTGTTAAGATGGAAGTTTTTCACAACTTGATCTATATTTTTTAAAGTCCCAGTTAAAATCCTAGCTATTTGTTTTGTGGATAGCGATAAACAGATTCTAAATTTGTTTAGACAAGAGAAAGATACATAATTTCTAAGTTGATACTGAAGGAGAAGAAACTTCAAGGACTTAACACTACCCAATTTCAAGACTTACTATAAAGCTATGCTAATAAAAACAGTTTGGTATTTCCAAAGAGATAGACAAATAGAAGAAAAAAAACAAAAAACAGGGAGCCCAGAAATAGACCCGAATACATACACTCTATTGAGCTTTGACAAAGGAACAAAGGCAATATAGTTGAGCAGAGATAGTCTTTTCAACAGATAGCATAACAACTTGATACATACATGCAAAACATGAACCTACTCATAGATATCATACTTTCTGTAAAAATTAACTCAAAATGTGTTATGTAAACCATAAAATTATAAAAAAATCATAGAATATAATGTAGGAGATAACCTACAGCCCTGTGGATTTGGCTATGAGTTTTTTAGATGCAGCACCAAAGGTATGTTCATGAAAGAAATAATTGATAAGCTGTACTTCATTAAAATTATAAACTTCAGCTCTGTGGAAGAAGAGAATGAGAAGATAGGCCACAATGAGCCCTGGAAAATAAATACACATCTGAGGACTCTTCTCCAAAACATACAAAGAATTCATAAAACTCCACAGTAGGAAATTGAGCAGCCTGATTAAAAAATAGACAAGTGGCCCAAACAAGCACCTCACTGAAGAAGATACGCAGATAGCAGATAAGAGATGAGAAGATGTTCAACATCATCTATCACTAGGGAATTGCAAATTGAAACCACAGAGACATAAATACGCCTAAATACCAAGTGCTGGCAAGGATGTGGAACAACAGGAAATCTCATTCATTGCTGGTGGAAACACACAATGGTACTAACACTGGAATACAGTTTGGCAGTTTCTTACAAAATTAAATGTATTCTTACCATACAATCCAGCACCTGCACTCCATGGTATGTACTGAAATGAATTGAAAACTTATTCACACAAAAACCTGCATGTGAATGTTTTAACAGCTTTATACATAATTGCCAAAACTGGAATGCAACCAGTTTGCCCTAAGGTAGATAGGAGAATAAATATTCACCCATCCAGACGAAGAAATACTCGGTTCTAAAAAGCAATGAAAGGCACTAGGAATCTCTCCCTGCGTAGACAATAATTGCAATAGCAAAATCTGTTTGAAATACTGAAGGCATGCACCTTACAGGGGAAGGCTTGGATGTCAAATTTCAATCAGTTTCATCTCTTATCACAGTAGCAGATACCTCAAATCCCTGGTAGGAAACTGTACTTGTAATACAGAAGTAGCTTGTATGCAGCTTTCATAAACCCCAGTGGACAGAAAACACCTGTCCTTTAAATATTAGAGATCTGTGCTCTCATGACTAACTACTGTTTCTGATCAGAGATGCAGACAAAGA